TCTGGCCTGTGCATCATGTCTGGCCAGAGCACCATGCCTCCATGTATGTTGGACTGTCCAAGGACCAGAGGTTCTGAAGCCAAGTGGAACGTGAATCTGGCTCTACCACAGAGGTACTATGTGGCCTCAGTAAAGGATATCACTATTCAGTCACCAACCTGGAGGCTGGCCTGGGTTCTCATCTCTCCCACCTACCTCCATCTCTTCAGCACACTCTTGGGCTTGACCTTCAAGCGCAGTCAGAACTGACCACTACATCCCCCTGTACCACCACCTTGGTCTGGGATCCCAGCACCTCTCTCCTGGATAAGCATAGTACCTTCTCACCCCAGCCAGAGGGATCCTTTAAAACCTAAGTTGGATCTCAGCTCTCCTCTGCTTAAACTCCTGCAATGGCCCCATCTTACCTACAGTAAAAGCCAAAGTCTTCCTGGCCCCACATGCTCCCCTCCGACCTCATGCCCTGCTTACTGCCCCTCCCTCACCCCAGCCATGCTGGATGTCTTGCCTCTTCAACCTGTCCCCCAAGCATTGTCCCCCTTCATAGCCTTTGGCTTTGTTGTTCCCTCCAGCCAGAACACTCTTCCCAAATACCTTGCTCCTCTGTTCCTGTAGGTCTCTGCACAGATGCCTCCTCCTCAAGGGGCCCTTCACTCAACATCTTACTCAAAATTGCACACACCCCCACTCTTAGCCTATTTTCTCCATGGGTTACACCTAACAGAGATTAGCAGTCCCCCCTTCTAGAATATAAGCTCCAGGAGGCCAAGGGCTTAGAATTGTTCACTGCTTTGGCGCCACATCCTAGATGGTTCTTGGCCCTGGTGGGTGCTCAGCAAATAGCCACTGAAGCTCTCTGGGTGCTCTCTTGACTCCCAGGGCAATAGTACTTGCCCCCAAGATTTGTAGAAGTGGTAGGGTACAGCTACTCCTCAAAATTTAGCTCACCTTCCATCTGGGGGCTGGGTTGGCAGAGAGGAGGCCTGGACACAGGCTGGGCCCTGTGACCTTGGGCAAGCCCCTCCTCTCTGGGCTTCAGTTTCCTCCTTTATACAATGGGCCAGAGGGGCGAGAGGGGCTGGAGGGGGGGATGCCATGACTTCAATAGCTCCTCCCAGCCCCAGGCTCCTCTGCCTGCTGGGGCTGCCACAGGTGCTCAGGGCACACAAGCCGTGATCCAAGCCATCAACAGTAGATACACAGATGGCTGACTGGTCTCACAAGGCCTGGGTAGCAGCCTGGGGACCTGATACCTCTCGGCCAAAGTGAAGTCCCCGTCCTTCAAGGCTGGCACCTTCTTCAGGAGATTCACCTGGGCAAAAGCATCGCTGTGGTGCTGGCCTGTGGGAGAGAGCAGTGAGGCCGGTGAGGAGAACTCTGAGCCCCCCTGAGGCCTCTCCCCCACCGCCACCCCAACATCCAGGCCCCAACTTTCTGAGGCCCCTATCCAGGTGGGCAACAGGAAAGAGACCACTCTCCTGGCCACCAGATCACAGACCCTGACACCACTAGAGGCCCACCCTTCCTGCGTCCACCCCGCTGGGAGCCCGGGCCAAGCAGCATCTCAGCTTGGCCATGAAGGGAGGGTGAGTCCCTGCAGCTGCAAGTCACCCCCACCCCTAGCCCCAGCCAATTCATCCATATGTCAGACACTCCAGTCTCCTCCCTGGGCTCTAGGCTTGCCCCTGCAATCCATCTTCCTATGCCAGCTGGGTGCCCTGTCCACACCACACCTGCCCGCGGCCCCCAGTCCAGCCTCATTCTCTCCAGGACCTCCTGCCCTCTTCAGTCACCCAGCCTCCAGCAGCTCAGCTCTTCTTTCTGTCCCGTGCCAAACTCTCAAAACTCTTCCCCAATGGGGGTTCGCAGGTCTGTTCACTTCTGCATTCCTTGAGCTGGGCCAGTGCTGGAGGGTACAATTACTGTGTGTGGAGTCAGAGGGCCTCCGTGGAACCAGGCTCCAGCCTGGCCATAGGCCCACCTATGGGCCTCTTTGCCCTTCTCCTGGGTGAAGAGAATCAGCCCTACCCATTCTCCCTCCAGAAAATGCCTCTGTGCCCAGCCCCCAACCCAAGAAGGGCTGGAAAGGTGGAGCAAGGTGGCAGCATAGCACTTGGTGGCCCAAGCTGGGGGCACCAAAGACAGAAGGTGGGCAGGCTCAGCCAAGAAGAGATCTCCCCCCCTGGCCTGCCCAAGGGTAGGCCTGCTGTCCAACTGTCCTGCGGTCCAATTACAGCCCTGCCCCTGCACTGGATCCTGTAAATGTGGAGGGGAGGTAGGCAGGCCTAGGTAGAAGTAAAGAGGAGACCAGATTGAGGTGGAACCGCCTTCTGCAGGCAGCCGCAGCCATTCAAGAGATGCAGGCTACTCCAATTCAGAAATGAGGAGGCAGTTTCATTGTATTCTCCAAGCCCGGGGGCGAGGGCGGGCGTGGGGGAGGTATTGGGGCACTCACTCCACTTCCCCACACCCCCCCTTCCCGCCCCGCACCCCACGCCCCCCACTGCTCCCTCTCTCGGCTCTGCTCCCTCTCAACCTGTATTTCTTTTTAAAGATTTTATTTATTTATTTGACAAAGAGAGACAGCGAGAGGGGGAACACAAGCAGGGAGAGTGGGAGAGGGAGAAGCAGGCTCCCCGCTGAGCAGGGAACCCGATGCGGGGCTCGATCCCAGGACCCCGGGTTCACGACCCGAGCCAAAGGCAGACGTTTAAGACTGAGCCTCCCAGGCGCCCCTCAACTGTATTTTGAAAAACGTTTCGTATTCACTAGGCAAAGATCGGGGCTCTTGAAAAAGACACAACCGATAACCGATTACACAGTTTCGGTACTGGAGGGTGTGTCCTCCAGTCGGTCTGCCGCGCCGGCGGCGGCGGCGGCGGGGGGGCGGGGGGGCGGGGGATCCGTCACCACACAGGCGCCCCCGACCGCAGGGCCTGCCTCCCTGCCAGGCCCACCTTTGAGCAGCTCCACCGGGCGCAGCTCGAAGGGGATGCCGTTCTTCTTGGCGAAGATGTAGACGGCGCGGCAGGGCTGGGACAGCAGGTCCAGGTAGAGCTCTAGGCCCATGGCGGGAGCAGCGGACCACCCCCGGGGTCGCGCCCAGGGTATAAGACTGGCAACAGAAACGGCCAGGCCACCGGGCCTAAATCGGAGCGCAATCCGGGGGAGAGGGGTGGGGGTGGGGGGTGGGGGCGTCTGAGCCCCGCCACACCCTCCCCGCCCACTGGCTGGCTCTAGAGAACTTTGGGCCAATCAGCGGCGCCGCAGCTCTCCCTCCTTCCCTTCCCTGGAATCTGGGCTGCAGTTCTCTTGGTGGAGAGGACGCTGGGAGACTTGGCCTCTGACCTGAGATTTCGTTGCCAGGTCACACCCCTTTCCCGGACCTCAGTGTCTACCTTTGTCAAATGGTGCAGTGGATGATGGTAATGGGAACGGGACGCCAAGGACGCTTCCAGCACAGACCCTCAGTGAATTTAGGATCGAAAGGGCTCGGCTGCCTTCAGTTGGCCCAAACCACCTCCCCAGGCTCAAGGAGGGGACTGAGAGAGAAGGAGCTTCTAAGTCCCCAGAAACACAAAGGGAGGCAGAGAACGGAGGTACAGTAGCTTCCCCTGGGCCCAGTGCCCAGGATGGAGGCTGCGGAGGTTTCTGGACCCCAGCTCCTTACAGAGCCCTGGCCCAAACTCCAGGTAAAGAATGAGCCACCCCTCCCTAATCCCTGGGGTCATATTCATTACAACCCAGCTAAGCTAATCCTTCTAGCAAAAGGCGGAAGCCAGTGGGGCCCACCCAGAGGTTTGCAGGGGGGCCTGAAACTTCCTCACTTCCTTTGCAGAGCCAAGTCCCTCCAACTGACACCATCTGGCCCCTGAGGTCAGTGGTTATGAACCCCCATTCCCTAAGAGAGGCTCTTGGGGTAAGAAGACCCTGCCCCCAAAACCAAGATTCACAGAAAACCCCTTGGCAAGAGGATGTTATTGGAAAATTTAAGTAAGATTTAAGTAAAACCTATACCCCCAGGAGACTGCCTTCCTGTGCTAGGGCTAGAGCCCTCTCCAGTCTGGGAGGGGCCATGTTCTCCATCCCCTTCATTGCCCTGCCCTCCTGCACAAATCACTTTGGCAGGATCACTATAATATCCAATTTCCCTGCTTCCTCTTTGGTCACCCTCAAGTGCAAGCCCTCTCACCCAACCCCGGAGAGCCAGAATATTATTTTAAAATACAATGTGGTGGGGTGTCTGGCTGGCTCAGTCAGTAGAGCATGCAACCCTTAATCTCAGGGTCATGAGTTCAAGCCCCACAGTGGGTGTGGAGGCTTACTTAAAATAAAATATAAAGAGGGGCACCTGGGTGGCTCAGATGGTTAAGCGTCTGCCTTCAGCTCAGGTCATGATCCCAGGGTCCTGGGATCGAGCCCTGCATCGGGCTCCTTGCTCAGCGGGAAGCCTGCTTCTCCCTCTCCTTGTACTGCTCCCCCTGCTTGTGCTCTCTCGCTCTCTCTGTCAAATAAATAAATAAAATCTTAAAAAAAATAAAATATAAAGAAAGAAAGAAATGCAATCTGACAGGCACACTATGCCTATTTAGGGTTTACAGATCATAGGCATGGCCTTTAAGGCCCTGCATGACTGATTCCTGACCAGGAGAGCTGCTGTTTAGATTTACCCCTCCTGATCAGTTCAGCAGAACAGAGGCAGGACTCATGAGCTACAGTACTTGATGCCAAAGGGCCATGTCCTGGGAGGTTGGCCCAGCCAACTGATTGATCACCATGCCTATAGTCACCACATATGGGATGCCTGCTGATTCCTATGCTGTCTGATAAATCACTTTCTCCAAGAATTAGAAGAGTAGAGGGCATTTGTTAATTTCACTCTTGGCAACCATCATGGGGAAGCTGACCCATAGGGCCTCAGAAGGGGGGTTGTCTTTCGGATAGAGACCAAGACCAGGGCCAAGACAGAAGGTCAAATAAATCACACCTCCGAGTTAGAAGTGTAGGCTCAGGCTTAGCCCAGGTTTATTTCCCAAACTGAAAACGAGATGCAGTGATTAAAGGAGATAAGAGCGGGCTATTCCGTTCTCATTGTGGCTTTTAAGCAGCTGTGCAAGATGGTACAGGTGTAAGGACCTGACCTGGGAGCACAGGTGCAGTGGGACTGACCAGGCAAATCACTACTCCTCTGAACCTGCCTCCCATGGGACAGTGGAAATGAAGGTGCTTTGTGAACTGCCACGGTCAAGCACGGGGACTGGGCTTCCCGGCTCACCAGATCATGGCCAGCACCAGAGGCATCAGCTTCTGCTTTATGGTGGGGTCTGCAGGTGGAGAGTCCTTGGCCTTCAGGATGACCTCATGGGCCTCCCGGAAGAGATCCTTCCCCACTGCTGCCTCCACACGCTGGCGCCATGCCGCCAACCTGGGTCGACCTTCGAAGACTTGGCAGCCAGCACCCACAGGCTGCAGGGATAAAGGGAACAGGATGAGGGTGGATGGGTAAGGTCAAGGATGGCAGCATCTGCCTGGTTTGGGGGCCCCAGAGCTCCAGAAGAGGCTTCCACACATAAGCCTGGCACATGGCCAGGTGGGGGGCAACATAAGCCCAGGGCCCTCCCTGCCTGGCAGGCCACCCTATCCATAGCACTCACATGCATCAGCTCTGTGATGGCTACCAGATCAGCCAGCGAGATGTGGGGCCCGGTGAGAAAGGCCTTGTTCTGGAGGAACCTGTCCTCAAGCAACTGCACGGTCACATCCAATTCAGCTGGCGTGGCTGCCAACATCTCAGGAGATACTGGCTCACCTAGGAAAACAGGGAACATCACCTGGGAGGTGGGGAGGCAAAGTAGAGGGTTAGGGGCCAGCCCAGCCTCAGGGGCAGGAAGGCAAGTGTGCCTCCCCCGCCCCAGTTTGAGCTGCTTTCTGGTTCCATGCACCTTTCTTCTAAGGCTGGGCTAGGCCTGCAGGGAAATTCCCAAAGGACCACCTCTCCCAAAAATATTCCTGCTTCCGTGTTCTCTGATGGCTGAGCCTCGGGGGCATCTGACAGAAGGACCCAAACTCAGAGGGGGACTTGAACCATGAATTTTATACTTTGGAAGTATAAATCTAGCCTAGGGACAGTCTATGTTATAACCTCCTTCCCCCTGAATGTAAAATCAGTACCTCTTACTGTATAATTAGGAGGATGAGCTTGTAAGGTTTCCACTCTGCCACTTACAAAGCGTGTGTGACCTAAAGCAAAATACCCAAACCCTCTGAGCCTCAATTTCCTCATCTACAATATAGAAATAATAGTACATGACTCCTCTTGTAAATGGAAAAGTGGGGCCCAGAAAGAGAGGGACGGTCAGTTGCCCGAGACGGCACAGCCAAGAAAAGACTAAGCCAAGAGTAGAAGGGACACTTTCTTTTTTTTAAAAAAATTTTACTTATTTATTTGAGAAAGTGAGAATGAGAGAGAGAGAGCATGAGAGGGGGGAGGGTCAGAGGGAGAAGCAGACTCCCCGCCCAGCAGGGAGCCCGATGCGGGACTCCATCCAGGGACCCCAGGATCATGACCTGAGCCGAAGGCAGTCACTTAACCGACTGAGCCACCCAGGCGCCCGACATTTTCTGGCAACGAGCTACCAGGAACTAAGGAGGAGGGCCAGGAAAGAGTGGTGTCCAGGATTCTGGGAGGAAGGTGTTTTAGGGGGAAGCCATCAACAGCCTCATGGGTTGGCAGAGCTGTCGGGAGATACTAGTGGATGGGGAGCAAGGGAAGAATGCTTCATGCTTCATTTGGTAAAGTTGCTTGGGGGAGCCTGGGATTTAGGTAAACAGGACTAGGATTGTACATGAGCCCTGGCTTCGGGCTTCAGTTTCCTCCTCCATACAAGGTAGACAGAATCAGCAGTCACCCGCTGGTGCCTGAAGGCCAGCCCTAAGCTAATGACATTCCTTTGGCTACAGAGTTTCTAAAAATATGGATCAGGGGCGCCTGGGTGTCTCAGTCAGTTAAATGTCCAGCTCTTGATTTCAGCTCAGGTCATGATCTCGGGATCGTGGGATTGAGCCCCACGTCGGGCTCCACGCTAGGCATGGAGCCTGCTTAAGATTCTCTCTCTCTCTGTCCCTCCCCTCCCCACTCTCTCTCTAAAAAAATAATAATAATAAAAATAAAAATATAGATCCGTTGCTGACATTTAAAAATGGGGACATTTCATATAGGAGTCCAGATTTCCAGCCTCTTTTTCTTTCTTTTTTTTAAGATTTTATTTATTTATTTGAGAGAGAGAGACAGAAAGCAAGCACAAGTGGGTGGAGGGGCAGAGGGAGAGGGAGAAGCAGACTCCCCGCTGAGCAGGGAGCCCAACTCAGGGCTCAATCCCCGGACCCTGGGATCAAGACCTGAGCCAAAGGCAGACACTTAACCGACAGCCACTCAGGTGCCCCTCCAGCTTCTTTTTCATGTAAAGGGTGCTGGCCAGAGTATCCTTGCTCAGTATCTAAGGCTGATGTTGGGGAGAAGCCACTCCTTCAGGAGGGCACAATGGGCTCTCACTCTGCACAACCGACCTAGCCCTCCTCCCTCATTTTTTATCGTCCTCGCCCCTGCAAGAGATTGTCTACATTTCCATTCTGTTCTGGTTTGGTTGATCCAAAAATCTTAGGGTTTTTTTTTTTTTAATTTTTTTTTTTAAGATTGTATTTATTTATTTGACAGAGACACTGCGAGAGAGGGAACACAGCAGGGGGAGTGGGAGAGGGAGAAGCAGGCTTCCCGCAGAGCAGGAAGCCCAATGCAAGGCTCGATCCCAGGACCCTAGGATCATGACCTGAGCTGAAGGCAGATGCTTAAGGACTGAGCCACCCAGGCGCCCCAATTCTTAGGGTTTTAAAGAGTGGTTTTGTTCCTCTTTAAATATAAAAGATCATTGTAGGGTAATAAATACATTCTGATTTATTTATATAATGAATTACTATAGAGTAGTTAAAATGGATAAATTAGATCCACCCATGGCAATACAGAAAAATGCACATTGCAGAGTGATATGAGAGCATTTATATAAAATTTTAAACACTCAAGGCAAAACTTTATTTTGCCTATGACGACACCTAAGTGTAATAATGCATAAAATCGTGAACTGAAAGACTCCCACCAGATCCCAGAGCAGAATGGCCTCTCAGGAAGGAATGAGGGCAACGAAGAGGTCTTTTGAATTTTTGTCCTCTGTTTCTGTTTTATATAAGAAATGACAGGAGACAGAGAAATAAAGCCCATGACCCACAATTAGCCATACACTTTAAAAAAATAAGGAATCCCACTTCTTTTTTTTTTTTTAATGTTATTATGTTATGTTAGTCACCATACATCATTGGTTTTTGATGTGGTGATCCACGATCCATTGTTTTCATACAACACCCAGTGCTCCATGCAGTATGTCCCCTCCTTAATACCCATCACCAGGCTAACCAATCCCCCCTCCCCCCTCCCCTCTAAAACCCTGTTTGTTTCTCAGAGTCCATAGTCTCCCATGGTTCATCTCTCCCTCCAATTCCCCCCCCTCCACCATTTTTCCCTTCCTTCTCCTAATGTCCTCCATGCTATTCCTTACGTTCCACAAATAAGTGAAACCATATGATAATTGACTTTCTCTGCTTGACTTATCTCACTTAGCATAATCTCCTTCAGTCCCATCCATGCTGATGTAAAAGTTGGGTAGGAATCCCACTTCTGATAAGGACATCAACATCACAAAAACCATAGCTCCCATCATAACAACGGTGGAAAGAACATAATCTTATCTTTGTTTAAAGCTATCAAAGAGTTATAGAACTTTTAAAAATAAAAAAATAAAAGAAAGGGCAAAAAAAAGAAAAGAAAAAAAGCCAAAACCTATGATATCTGATATGGTAGCCGCTAGTGACTAGCTCTTGAAACGTGGCCGGTCCTAACTGAGTTGTGCTGCGCATGCAAAATACACACCAGATTCCGAAGACACAGTACAAGAAAAGAATGCAAAATAGTGCATTAATGATTTTTCTACTGATTACATGTTACTATAATTTTTTAAATGTTTAATTATGGTAAGAGACACGTAGCATAAAATTTCCCATCTAACCATATTTATGTGTACAGTTCCACGGCACTAAGCACATTCACACCAGAAGCATGTACAACTATCACTGCAGAGATAGTATAGGGAAAGCAAGAGGGACTAAGCTCCTGTGAAAGTCACCAGTCTGAGACAAGGGTTAAAAGTTTCCATAAGAAAAAAAAAGTTTCCATAAGCTTGGAGACAAATATCTCCTCTGGGAAAGAGAATGAATGAGAGATAAGAGCCATGAGGGAGTAATGGTTGCCTGGGCAAAATTAGAAGTAACAATTTAAAGCCTGCTTGCACAAGTATTTCTATTTTCCAGGAGCCCTAGAAGAATGTCGACCATGAAGAAAAGCATCTTGTGATTGTCTTGTGTCCACTAAAAAGTGACGCCCACAAGATAATGACCGTGGGACTGAAGGACGCTTCCCCATTCCCAGCCCCTCACCCTTTGGAGAAGTACCTTTTTATAAAGTGCCCTCGCACGCTACCGAGGTGGGTAGCGACATTCCTCTTTCTTGTCGGCCCCCTTTTATACAAGCTATCTCTAATAAACTCCACCTGTTTTCTTTCTCTCAAGTTCAATGTTCATTTCTATGACATTGAGACTCAGGAACCTAGACTCAGGGGTTGAGTAACACCACCAACCATCTCCAGAACTTACTCATCATCCCAAACTGAAACTGTCCCCATTAGCCAAAACTTCCCATACCCTCCTCCCCCAACCCGAGAGCCATCCTTCTACTTTTTTGTCTTTAGGAACAGAACTACTCTAAGGATCTCATATAACTGGAATCATACATGGCTGGCTCAGACAGAAGAGCATGTGACTCTTCTTTTTTTTAAGTTTTTTTTTTTATTTGACACAGAGAAATAGAGAGAGAGTGCACAAGCAGGGCGAGTGGAAATCAGAGGGAGAGGCAGAAGCAGGCTCCCTGCTGAGCAAGGAGCCCAGGACCCTGGGGATCATGACTGAGCCACCCAGGTGCCCCTCTACCTTTTTTTTTTTTTTTAAAAATCAGAACAACCAGTATTCACTGTTTAGATGAGAATGACAATAAATGATTTTTTTAAAAAAATGACACACATAACACTTTTTTTTTTTTTTTTAAGATTTTATTTATTTATTTGACAGAGAGAGAGACAGCGAGAGCAGGAACACAAGCAGGGGGAGTGGGAGAGCGAGAAGCAGGCTTCCCGCCGAGCAGGGAGCCCGATGCAGGACCCGATCCCACGATCCCAGGACCCTGGGATCATGACCCGAGCCGAAGGCAGACGCTTAACGACTGAGCCACCCAGGCGCCCCGCATAACACTTATTTAAAGACTTACTTAATAAACAGTCCACCTTTCAATATTAGCTCTTAACACTTCCATGGGATTGGCAGAAAGCAAATTCGTGACCCTGAAGTAATAGTAGGTCTCAAAGTGATAAAACCTGAGACTTGTCAACCGATTCTCCTATCTTCATGTCATCGAGGAGGTAATGGGACAATATGAACATATTCGATTCCTAAGATACCGTAAATGACCCACATATTCTTTAATATTCAGCTGTACTAAACAGGTTTTTTTTAAAAGAGTATGTGAAGAAGTTATCACTGCGCCTCATTCTGAATGGTATTTTCTGCTTCATTTTCATTTTCTTTTTTTTTTTTTAAGATCTTATTTATTTATTTGAGAGAGAGAGAATGAGAGAGAGCACATGAGAGGGGAGAGGGTCAGAGGGAGAAGCAGACTCCGTGCTGAACAGGGAGCCCGATGTGGGACTTGATCCTGGGACTCCAGGATCATGACCTGAGCCGAAGGCAGTCACTTAACCAACTGAGCCACCCAGGTGCCCCTCATTTTCATTTTCAACACCAATAGGATATGGTGCTCTTCCTAAAAGAAATTGTTCCCATTTGGGAATATATTCTTCTCTTGATGTCCAGTAAAGAATCTCAAGAGAAAGGTGCCACCCCAGGGTCCTGGGCTCCTTGCTCAGCAGGGAGCCTGCTTCTGCCTCTCCCTCTGATTTCCACTTGCCCTGGTTGTGCACTCTCTCTCTATTTCTCTCTCATTCTCTCTCTCTCTCTCTCTCAAATAAATAAATAAAATCTTAAAAAAAAAAAAAGAATCTCAAGAGAAACCACCTCTGGTGATGGAATTGGGTGAATCCGGGTCTATAGAGACTTTTCTGATGCTTCTATATCCATTAAAAGACCAAGGTTCCTTTTACAAGCAGTCTCAGCTGCTTGCATCTGAGATGCCTTTTCCTTGTTTTCATCCATAAATTTATTCTCCATTTGTTGAAGTAACATTAATCTTTGTGATACTATTTCTTCATGTCTTTTATAAAGGTGAATTTCTTGAGCAAACAAGGACGTCATCTTTAGTCAAAGCTGCCTTATAAGCTTTCTGCTGGACTGAAGAGCCTGGGCCAATGCAGATAAAGATCAAGTGAAGTGCTCTTAAGGCTTAGAGCCTGAAGGCAAATCATCTGGTTGCGTGCAGAAGCTGAAGGTGACTGTCCCAGTCGCACTCGGACCTCATCCGTAAAGCTCTTTTTTTGAACCTAATGTCTAGCACACCATAAAAAAAGGAAGAAAATGTGACCCATAATCAGGAGGATAAAAAAATGGCCAATAGAAATAGACCCACGGGGGACCAACGTATGAAAATTAGCTGACAAAGACTTTTAAGTAACTATCAAAAATATGTTAAAGAATTTAGAAGAAAAGATGGACCAAATGGGTAAACAGATGATAAATTTCAGCACAGAAATGGAAACTTAAAAAAGAACCAAATGGAATTTCTAGAATTGAAAAATACATGTCTCAAAAAAAGACTGTATTAGGGGCGCCTGGGTGGCTCAGATGGTTAAGCGTCTGCCTTCGGCTCAGGTCATGATCCCAGGGTCCTGGGATCGAGTTCCACATCAGGCTCCTGGCTCAGAGGGGAGCCTGCTTCTCCCTCTGCCTCTGCCTCTCTCTCTCTCTCTCTCACTCTCATGAATAAATAAATAAAACATTTAAAAAAAAAAAGACTGTATTAGATGGGTTGGATAGCAATGTGGACACAACAGAAGAAAGAATTAGTGGAGTCAAAGTTAATTTCATAGAGACTATCCAAATGGAACAGAATGCAATGGTGCTTTAGCCCCTTTGGGGCAATGACCTCAGGGCCTCACCTAATGCCACAGGGCCCGGAGGCAGCTTCTCCGCAGGGCTGTGTGCTGCCATGCCAGGTACTCATCCCCAAGGGCACAGGCCTGTACATCCTGGGGGTACAGTGGTTGGGGACTTTATACTTGTGGGTCAGGTAGAGCAGGATGGCCACGCTGTAGGGGAGGGATGACATGATGGGTGGAGAAAGGACACTGTGCTAGGGGCTTAATCAGAGTCCCTTCTTTAATCTTCCTGACGATGTGTCAAGGTATTTGCCTCACTTTCCAGAGAAGGAAGCCAGGCTTAGACAGTGAAGGGACTTGCCCAGGGCACAGAGCCTTTGGTGGCAGGGCTGAGAGTCTTTCTGAGGCTAACACACGAGTTCATCCTACCACCAGGCAAAAGCCCACAGCAGAGTATCCTGCCAAGTGTTCAGAGACAGTCTCTGATCAGAGGGTCAGAGGGCTTCCTGGAGGAGACATCAAAAGCTGAGCCTTAAATAAGCTCAGTTCTTTCCAGTCTGCATCCATTCTCATCCTCTGGCATCCAGACCAGCCTCAGATGGCCTGACTGCTCAAAAAGGCATTCCTCTCATCCTTCTGTTCTCCCTAAAGCACCCAGTAGGAAGCACTGGGGCTGCTGCAGGATCATGGAACAGCAGAAAAGACCAGGCCCCTGGAGCTCTCCTCCTGCCCTAGGTTATGAGGGCTACCATGGTGGTGGGACAGGGATGGACCTGGAAGGGCCCTGAGAATGCATGAATTTGGGGCCATAGGAAAGCTTTCAGGAACTTGGGGTACCCCAAGGGTTGTGCACCCCAGCCAATAAGGGCAGAAAACCTCTGTTCCCTATTAAGAATCCTGTATCCATGCCCTGGCTTAACAACTCACTTGTCTGTACAAGAGCTCCTTTTCCTCCCAGCTAACGGTTCAAACCACCTCTGGGGAGGGCTGCAGGTCCCCGGGAGTCACAGACCTCCTGACAGTGAGAAAAGACACAGAAGAATGCAGAAATCACACAATGCTCCTGGCAGGTACCATGGGTGCTCAACACTGGGTGACACAAGGACCCAGGACAGTAGAGAGCAGCAGAAAGAAAGAAAAAAATGACACTGGCATAATGTTAGGAATTCTTGGAGGGATGCACCCATCTCACAATTCCAGAGATACGTTCTAAAACTTCAAGTTCTGCTTGTTATGGGAGGGGTGACTCAGGTGACAAAAGGGGCCAAACTGGGAAAAGACTTGACCTTTTCACTTCTTGGGACCTGTTGTGATGTAAAACACCCACTTGTCTCATGGTCCTCCCTCGGGTGACGCCCACTCAGGGAGGCTGCAGCCGACTTGGAGCCATTGGGTAGCCTAGACGCCCATGGGCCATCTCGAGCCAGAGCGCTGCCCCTGCCCTGCCCTGCACCCCTGCCCTGGGGTACTCTCACCAACAACCACAGGATGGGTACAGAAGTAAAATAGATGTTTACTTGTCCAAGCATCCTTGTGAACTGGACCAGCGGGCAGGCAGGCAGGGGTCCGGGTTCCAGCCCTGACTCTCTATGGGATGTTGGGCTAAGAGCCCTTCACCTCTGAGGATTTTAGTTTCTTGTCTCTGAAATAGAGAGTTAGGGGGCGCCTGGGCGGCTCAGTCAGTTAAGCAGCCAGCTCTTGGTTTGGGCTCAGGTCATGATCTCAGGGTCCTGGAATCTAGCCCGTGTCAGGTTCTGAGCTCAGCAGGGAGTCTGTTTGTGGATTTTCTCTCTTCTCCCTCTTCCTCTGCCTCTCACTCTGCTCACTCAAGCGCTCTCTCTCTCTTTAACACACATAAATTAATTAATTAATTAATTAATTAAAATAAGAGGGTTAGGACAAGATGATTCCAGTGAGTTCTGGTAGCAGCCCCAGGGCCCCAGTTACCTCTCAGCCAAGGTGAAGTTTCCATCCTTCAAAGCAGGCACCTTCTTCAGGGGGTTCACCTGGGCAAAGGCATCACTGAGGTGCTGGCCTGCAGAGAGCCCATCACGGTGGGTGAAGGAGGAAACACTGAGCCCTGCGCACTCCCTACCATGCCCAGGCCCCAATTTCATGGCTCTTCTCCAGCCCCCAGGTGCTCTCCTGCATGAAAGGCTAGCGAGGGCCACTTTGGGAGAAACGGGATACTGCTCTGCCAAATGTTGCAAAATGGACCTCGACAGCCCATGCCAAGTCCCATTGGGCCCAAGCTCTACCCGCAGCCCAAGGTGCGGGATATGATGCTTCAGCTGGGCCTTCACACTCACCGCACCCACCACCTTTGCACCATCCCCGGCCTCATTAAGTACACATTCAGGGTGCCCCAAGCTGCCAGAGGAGGGTGGCTGGTCACCCGAACGGCACTCTGATCTCTTACACTGCCCCTTTCCCTGTGGACTCTAAGGTAAGGTCACCAAACACAGAGAAGTGGCTTTTTCCTGGTATCTATTTACTTGCAAACAACTTCCACCAGCTCCTCTGTGTCCCCTTGTTCACCCTGCCCTGGCCACTGGGGACACAGGGCTGGCCCTGCCTTTAGGCTCTGCTGGAGCTGGAACAGTCACATTTTTGTCCCACCTACAGCCTCCCAAAAGGTACAGCCCCATGTCCCCTGGGATCCTGGCCTCTGCTTGAGTTTGTGGGCGTGGCTCCTACTCCTGCAGATGCAGTCAGAGAGAAGCTTCTGAAGAGCACTTAGGCTTATCGCCACCCTGCTCAACAGCCTTCAGTGGCTCCCCATTACCCCAGGATCAGGTGGAAGCTCCTCGAAGCCATACATGATTGCCTTAACACTCTAGCCTCAAATACACCCACTATCCTTCCTTTTCCCTCCCTTCAGACTGAGCCTTCACCAGACACACCTGCTCTGCTCTCCTAGTGAAACACACCCCTCTGCACCCTTTATTTAACAGTCTGGCTGGGATGTTCCTTTGTCCCCATGCGCTGTCCCCTATACTCTGCAGAAGTAACCCCTGGGCAGGACAAGTGGGAAATCCCCCCAGGAGAAGATGGGAGAAGATGATGATTCAGGCAGAGAGACAGGCCAGTACAAAGGCACAAAGGCAGGCAAGGGCCCAACTGTGGTTCCTTATTGGTGGGGTGGGGAAGTGATGGTGGTGGGGAGTCTCAGCCAAGTAGAGTTACCCTACTTGCCCACCCGGCAATACCTGGGTTCTGCTTCCCTCTTTCCCCCCAGATGCCTGCTGTGTCCCTGGAGCCTTGGGAGCCTGCCAGAGAAACACACCCTCCAGTTCAGAGTGCCCGGCTCAGCAAGCTCCAGCAGCCTCCCCTGCAGTCTCCCCTCAGGCTCCCGGCATACCCCCTGGGGTGCCCCTCCCAGCAGAAATAAGAAGGCAGAGGTAAAGCAGGAGAAGGCAACGCAGAAGTAGGGACAGAGGGGGACCCCCAATGCAAACTGGGCCGATGCATAGCGCAGGGCTGGAAGGTCGGGACCCTGGTGACTGCTGTGGCAGATTTTCGGCAGTTGGGGACCACAAAGGAGGGACTCGGCTCTGCCGCAGTCTCCATGCTCGACCCCCTAACCCCCCACCTCCTGCCCCCATCTCTTTTTTGGAGGTCCTCTCTCCCTATGTCCAGGTACACCCTGTTTTTGTTCACCAGGTCTCTCTTTTTCCTCAAGCTCCCCACCCCTTCACTTGGCCTCGGCGGAGCCCCATCGTCTATCCCGCGGGACCGAGCAGAGTTTGGGGGATTACCCGAATCTCGGATGTCCCTGGTGGCTCACCTTTTTCAGCAATGGCCCTAAGAAGGGGTTGGCACCGGACGTCCTCTCAAGCAATTTTTGGCCTCCCCGTTCCTCCCCAATCTCTTTGGTTCCCAAACCCAAGCCTGGGCCCACTTTTGAGCAGGTCCACCGGTTGCAGCTCGAAGGGAATGCTGTTCTTGGCGAAGATGTAGACGGCGCGGCAGGGCTGGGACAGCAGGTCCAGGTAAAGCTCCAGGCCCATGGCGGGGGCCGCAGGACCGGACTCGCGACCCCAGGGACTCCGCGAACCGGAGCGCAGCCAGGAAACTCACTCGGTCGTGGGGCCATGCTCCCCGTTGGGTGGCTGCGGGCCCAGGCACTTTGGTCCAATCGCTGGAGCGGCTAGGGGCGTGTCTGAGGGGTTGGGACCAAGAGCGCAGGGCCCAGCCGGCGGGGTGGTGACGCGATGGTCGCCCCTCCAAGGGTCCCGCCGAGAGTCCCCAGTCCTTTGTGACTATCTTATTTCACTTACCATGGTGTCTTCAAGATTCATCCACGTTGTCGCTGTCAGAATTTCCTATCATCTCCATTTTAGAGATGTCGAGATTGAGGCAAGAAGTGATTATGGACCCAGAAAGTCTGGTTCCAGAGTCGCTGTTCCTAAGAACACCCCCGAGACCGTGATACTAGCAAGTGGCACAGCCTCGGGGCTTATGTTTAGCATTTTGTGGTAACTCACTCGGCTCAGATTGCGTTTCCTATAATTTGGCAGCCTTTGTCTTCCTGCTCCTGCCAGCACAGTGCATCACATTCCCTGAATTTGTTTCTTCCCGGCTCTGGGCCTCAGTTTCTCCATCTTTAAAATGATGGGGAGAGATCCAACAACGCCACTTCTGGGCATATATCCAAAGGAAATGGAAACAGGATATGAAAGAGATAGTTGCACCCCCACGTTGATTGCAGCATTATTCACAATAGCAAGACATGGAAATAACTAAGTGTCCGCCAAGGAAGAATGGATAAAGAACATGTGGTATATATACACAATGGAATACTATTCAGCCATGAGAAAGAAGGAAATCCTGCCATTTGTGACAACCTGAATGGACCTTGAGGGCATTATGCTGAGTGAGATAGGTCAAACAGAAAGACAAATACGGTGTAATCACACTTATTTGTGAAATCTAAAAAAAGCCAAACTCATAGACACAAAGTGGTCACCAGGAGCTGGAAGGTGGGAAGACTGGAAAAATGTGTAAGAGTACAAACTTGCAACTAGGAGATAAATAAGTTGTGGAGATCTATCACAACATAATGGTTATTAGTCAACATTTGTTGTCAACAATATAGACAACAACTGTATTACAATTTCCAAGTTGCTAAGAGACTAGATCTTAGTTATTCTCCCTATGAAAAAGAAATGATAATTAGGTGACATAATAGAGTGTTAGCTCATATTACAATATATAAATGTATCAAATCAACAAGTTGTACACCTTAAACTTCCACAATGTTATGTCAGTTATATCTCAATAATAAATATGTAGATAGATAAAATAATGAGGAGGCTAGAGCCCTACAGGGCCCTTACAACTCATCACCCCTGGACTCACCTGCTGAGCCTCAGTCTCAGGCCTGTTCCTTACTACCCCGGGATCCCCCAGAGCATGCCACCTGGCTGGTCATATGGCGTCAGTGTCATTTCCTAACATAAGTTCAAATGAAAATGCATCCGCAAGAACATAACGTTTTCTACACAATAAGAAAGCTCTTTGCAAAGAAAGCAAATGTTGATAATAATGATTTTCAACTGAAAAAAATATTTAAGGAGGGATGAGAACTTCAGATTTCAGATGTTGAAGTCTGAAAAAGGAGCTAGACACTCAGAGGAGGCAAGTTACTCGATCCTCATGTCCCGCTGACCCTAATCAGCACCCCAGGAGGAGCTGGGCAGGATCCTGTCTAGGGCTCAGCCTCAATCTTGAAGGCTCAAAATCTAATTTGGACCATGTTCCAGAATTAATCTTTTTCTTAGGATCTGAACTCACAAGAGACTGATGGATTTCTTATTTTATAGAAAAAGAGATAAAGGCCATTTAGACATAATGCTCCCAACCAATGCTCAGAGCACTGTAGAAGTGTAGTCTCCCAGCAAATCTGGGGAAACAGAGTGAGAACAAAGCAAGCCAGACCACCTGCAAGGCACCTTCCAACTGAAAGCTTTAGAGAGTTAGAAAAACCATCTGTATTCATTAATTATTGCTACATAACAAATTACCACGAACTTAATGGCTTAAAACAACACGTATTTATTATCTTACACTTTCTGTAGATCAGGGGTATGGGCATGGGCTCAATGGGTCCTCAGGAAGGCTTCAATCCAAGTGTCAGCGAGGACAGGGTTCTCATCTAAGGCTCAAATGGGGAAGGATCCACTTCCGAGTTCACTCAGGTTTTTGCCCGAATTCATTTCCTTTCCCTAGTAGGACTGAGGGCCCTAGCTTCTTGCTGACCACTCTCAGCTCCTTGCCACAGGGACCTTCTAACATGGTTGCTTACTTCTTCAAAGCCAGTAAGGGAGAGAGTCTCTAGAACCAGTCTGCTAGCAAGATGGAGTCTTGTATAACAAAACATAATCTCAGAAGTGACATTCCATCACCTTTGTCACATTCGGTGGCTTAGAAACAAGTCACGGGCCCTGGACACACTTAAGAGGAAGGGATTATATAAAGATGTGACATTGGGTAAGGTCATTGGGGGGTCAGTTTATTTTTTCTTAAGATTTTATTTATTTATTTGACAGAGATAGTGAGAGAGCACAAGCAGGGGGGAACAGTAGAAGGAGAGGGAGAAACAGGCTCCCCGCCCGAGCAGGGAGCCCAATGCAGGACTCGATCCCAAGGACCCTGAGATCATGACCTGAGCCGAAGGCAAGTGCTTAACCAACTGATCCACCCAGGCACCACGGGGGGTTAGTTTAGAGTCTGTCCACCACAACTTCCAAGGCTTCATAGGTGTGCAACCTGTGCAACTGCCCAGCCCCCTGCTTCTAGCCCCACAGTTGTTTCAATGCTTTGCTATTGCCATCTTCAAGTTCTTAATAATCTTTGATCAAGGGGCCCCTCACTTTCATTTGTAGCCAGTCCTGTCCAAGGGGTCCAAAGAGCTCAGAAAGCCAGACAGGGTGCTGCTCCAGGCAGGGACAGGAGCACCTGACTAGGAGCTACTCTGCGGTCCCTCTCCTAGGGCCAGCTCTTCCCCTGTGGCATCTCACCCTCTTGACACTTAAACCGCGTCCATCTTTGGCAAGGAACATAGGTGCCTTTAAACATCTTCAGGAAAAAAAAAAACATGTTTTCCCATTGAAGTGTTTACGCGACCTAGGTACTTGCTACTCACATTGTGGTCCTCAGAGCAGAAGCAGCAGCCTTGACCATGAGCTTGATGGAAATTGTTGAGCTTCAAAATAGAAGTTATTTTACTAGCAAAAATGAGTTTATTCAGGAATAGCAGAGAATCGCAACTCAGGACATGCAAGCTAGGGCAAAAACTACAGACAAATCCTACAAATGATAGGGAGGAATGGTATTTTATTAAGAAGGAAGAAGTTGGGAGGGGTTGTTTTGAATGAAAGTCCATCGGAGAAAAACAAGAATTCAGGGTGGTGAGAGTTTCTCATTGGCTGTGTTACTGGGGTAATGGATCTGGGTTTCTTTTCTTTTTTTTTTTTCTTTTATTTGAGAGAAAAAGTCAGAGATAGCGAGAGCACGAGCAGGGAGGAGAGGGAGAAGTAGGTTCCCCGCTGAGTAGGGACCCTGATGTGGGGCTTAATCCCAGGACCCCGGGATCATGACCTGAGCCGAAGGCAGACGCCCAACGACTGAGCCACCCATGCGCCCCTGGAGTAATGGATGTCTTATAGGAGAAGCGCTAGAGGTCTCTTTCTGTTGGGGTCTGTAATTGACAATTCTTCCTGTAATTGACGTCAAGTGCTATGGCATGAGAGGTCTCCCTTCTAGCCTCCAGACTCCGTTTTAGTGAGGTTAGGAGACATAGATATGGATGGATATTCCATTGTAGATATATAGATATTCCATTATAGATAAATATAGTATTATTGGAATATATATATACACACATACATACACACACACACACAGATTATTATTCAGCCTTAAAAAGAAAGTAATCTTGGGGCACCTGACTGGCTCAGTCAGTAGAGCATGCAACTCTTGATCTTGGGATTCGTGTCCCACGTTGGTGTAGAGATTACTTAAAGTAAAATAAAATCTTTAAGGAAAAAAAAAAGATAATCTTGTCATTTGAAACAACGGGGATGAACCTGGAGGTCATTATGCTAAGTAAAATAAACTAGACACAGATAGACCAATACTGCATAATCTCATTTGTATGTGGAATCCAAAAAAAAAAAAAAAAATGAAGCTCTTAGAAGCAGAGACTAGATGGTTACCAGGGGATGGGGGAATGGGGAGCTGTTGATCAAAGGGTACAAAGTTTTAGATATGCAGGACGAATAAATTACAGAGATCTAATGTACAACATGGTGACTATAGTTAACAGTACCATATGGTTCACTTCATATTTGCTAACAGAGTACATCCTCTTGGTTCTCAACGACAATGACGAAATGGTTACTATGTGAGATGGTGGATATGTTACTTAGTTTGATTATGGTAATCATGTCACAATGTATGTGTATATCAAAACATCATGCTGTACACTTAAAATACATACAATTTTTATTTGTCAATTATTCCTCAATAAAGCTGGGAAAATAAATAAAGAAACCAGGGAGTGGGGCAGAATTGCACTGTCACCATGCTATCAGATAGGTTTTTTTTTTAAAGATTTTTTTTTATAAGATTTTTTTTTTTTTAATTTATTTGAGACAGAGAGAATGAGAGACAGAGAGCACATGAGAGGGGGGAGGGTCAAAGGCAGAAGCAGGCTCCCTGCCGAGCAGGGAGCCCGATGCGGGACTCGATCCCGGGACTCCAGGATCATGACCTGAGCCGAAGGCAGTCGCTTAACCAACTGAGCCACCCAGGCGCCCCTATCAGATAGTCTTAATTTCCCACGTAGCTCTGCGAAGGACGGTACTCGGTCTGGTCTGTCCCTCTTGTGACCCTGAACATCCTTGTATGTTCCTGTTGGGGGTGGGGGCAACTTTCAGTCTTTCACCACTAAGTATGATGTTACCTGTGAGTTTTTCATAGATGCCCTTTATCAAATTGAGGAAGTTCCCTTCTATTCTTTGTTTGTTGAGAAATTCTATCCTGAAAGGGTGTTGGATTTGTCAAATGCTTTTTCTGCATCTATTAAGATAATCATGGGATTTTTGTTCTTTATTCTATCAGCATTGCGTGTTTTATTGATCGATTTTCCTATGTTGAACCACCCTTGCGTTCCTGGTCACGATATGTAATCCTTTTAATATGCTGTGGATATGGGGCACCTGGGTGGCTCAGTCGTTAAGCGTCTGCCTTCGGCTCAGGTCATGATCCCAGGGTCCTGGGATCGAGCCCTGCATCCGGCTCCTTGCTCAGCAGGAAGCCTGCTTCTCCCTCTCCTTCTACTGCTTCCCCCTGCTTGTGCTTTCTCACTCTCTCTGTCAAATAAATAAAATCTTTTAAAAAAAATATGCTGTGGATATGATTTGCTGGTATTTTGTTGAGAATTTTTGCACCTGTATTTATAAGTGGTGTTGCCATGTAATTTTATTTTCTTGTGCTCTTTTTCTTGGCTTTGATCTCAGGCTTATACTGGGTTCCTAATAACACTCCAACCAGTCTTCAAGCTTATGTGCTCCTTGCTTGCTGACCTAAGTCCCTTGATCTGTAGCAGAACTTTCCTTGAGATTTGCAGACCACTGGCCATGAGGAGTGAAGGACCAAACTTTCCCAAAAAATAAGGCCTGACTACATTCAAAAACAGCTGCCAGTGAGGCCAGCAAGTCTGTTCAGGGTCATGTCCACATAGGACTAGCCACCTGGGCACCTGCGTCTCCTCTGTATAACCCCCCGCCCTCTTCCCTTGCCTTCCCATTTAAAACCCTCTGGCTTCATCTGGACGGGGAAGATGATCTTTGAGATGTTTGTCCACCATCTTCTCAGGTTTCTGGCTTCCTGAATAAAGCCAACTCTCCTTTCCCACCATCACTTGTCTCTCAAGTACTGATTTTCAAGCTACCAGAAGCAAAACCTGAGTTCGGAACCAGTTCTCTGCCCAGTAACAATAGAATCAGATGGGAAATGTTCCCTCTTCATTTTTTTTTTTTTTTTTGGAAGAGTTTGTGAAGGCTTAGTGTTAGTTCTTTTTTTTCTTTTTTTTTTTAAGATTTTATTTATTTATTTGAGAGCATGAGGGAGCGAGAGGGCACGAGTGGGGGAGGAGCAGAGATAGAGAGCATGAGGGGGGAAGGGGGGGTAGAGGGAGAAGAAGAAGCAGGCTCCTGCTGAGCAGGGAGCTCCCTGTGGGTTCAATCCCAGGACCCTGGGATCATGACCTGAGCTGACGGCAGACGCTTAACTGACTGAGCCACCCAAGCGCCCCTGTGTTTTTGTTTTCATGTGTTAGAGGTATTTTCTAACTTCCCTGTGGTTGTTTAAGAATATACTGTTTAATTTCCAGATATTTGTGAACTTTCTAGTTTTCCTTCTGTTATTTTCTAATTTCACTCCATTATGTTCCAGAACATACATTATATGACTTCAGTCTGTTTAAATTCATTGAGATTTATTTTGTGACCTGACATAAGATCTATCCTGGAGAATATTCCATGTGCACTTGAGAAGAATGTGTATTCCGGGGTGCCTGGCTGGTTCAGTCGGAAGAGCATGCAACTCTTGATCTTAGGGGTGTGAGTTTGAGCTCCACGTTGGGTGTAGAGATTACTAAAAAAAAATAAACTTTAAAAGAAAAAAAAAGAATGTGTATTTTTTGGTCATTGGGTCGAGTGTTCTGTGTATATATCTGGTAGGTCCATTGGTTTACAGCATAGTTCAAGTCTTCTATTTCCTTGACGATCTTCTGTCTTGGTTCATCCATTATTGAGAATGGAGTATTGAATTCATCAACTATTATTATTGATAATTTAATCATATTTATTTTTTAAGTTGTATTAAATCCAGTTGACTTTTTTTTTTAAAGATTTTATTTATTTATTTGACAGAGAGAGATACAGCGAGAGAGGGAACACAAGCGGGGGGAGAGGGAGAGGGAGAAGCAGGCCTCCCGCCGAGCAGGGAGCCCAATGCGGGGCTCGATCCCAGGACCCTGGGATCATGACCTGAGCCGAAGGCAGACGCTTAACGACTGAGCCACCCAGGCACCCCAAATCCAGTTGACTTTTTTTTTACTTTTATATATTTATTTATTTGAGAGAGAGTGTGCGAATGCAAACGCACATGAGTGGAAGGAGAGGCAGAGGGGGAGGGAAAGAATCTCAAGCAGACTCTGCACTGAGCGTGGATCCTGATGCAGGGCTCAGTCTTGCAACCCTGAGATCATGACCTGAGCCACAATCAAGAGTGAGATGCTTAACTGACTGAGCCACCAAAGCGACCCCAGTTGATTTTTTTTAAGGAAACTTTATGCCCAATGTGAGGCTCAAACTCACGACCCTGAAATCAAGAGTTGCATGCTCTACCAACTAAGACAGCAGGGCGCCCTTAATCATATTTAACTTTTATTTTTTATTATTTTTTATTTTTTATTTTTTTTAAGATTATTTATTTATTTATTTGAGAGAGAGAGAATGAGAGAGAGAGCACATGAGGTGGGGGAGGGTCAGAGGGAGAAGCAGACTCCCTGCCGAGCAGGGAGCCCGATGTGGGACTCGATCCAGGGACTCCAGGATCATGACCTGAGCCAAAGGCAGTCGCTTAACCAACTGAGCCACCCAGGCGCCCTTAACTTTTAGTTTTTAAACTCTTTTTGGAACCTGGGGGGAATCATGACCACCACCATCTCCCACACCATGCATACCCTATGCTCACACCACCTGTCCTGGGCTCAGCAGCCTTGGTGGTTGTTACAGTACTTTATTAAGCAAAGAAACAGAGTTGTTTTCAACATCTCCTCTAAGGAAGGAAGCTCAGAAGGGCTGAGTCAGCCAGGCCCTGAAGGATGGGCTGCTTCTACTTGAACTTCTGCAGCAACTCGCAGATCTTCTCCTTGACCATTGGATCCAACGTTGAACAGTCCCACTCTGCCAACTTCATCAGCCGGTCATGGGCCTCCCAGAAGAGGCCAGAGCCAATAGCCAGCTCCACCCTCATGCGCCACTCAGCTATCTTGGAGCTGTTGAGAAAGACATTATACTTGCTTCCCATGGGCTGTAGATAGACAAAGAGGAAGGAGTGGTCAGCCAGGAGGAGGTGGGGGGCGACAGACCAGCCTCACCTGCATCCCCTCCTACAGCCTCAGGGGCTCTCCGCATCTGCCTCCCACAAAGAGTGAGTCTGTGACCCACTGCACCCCCAGGCCTGGGCAAGAGGTCAGAGGCTATGTGATAGACGTGGGGGGAGCATTGGAAGATCGATCAGAATCTCCAGGGTTCTTGGCCACTGGTCTTGCTCCAAAGCTCCGGAATCCCTCTCTGAGGTAACACAGGTGTTACCTCCCATTTCTCCAGCATGAAACTTTCCATGAGTCCTGCCTTCTACCAGGAAATCCCTTATCCTCAGATGAGGGTGGGAAGAATTCAGTTCTTTTTTCTCTACATTGAGCCTTCCTCTGTGATCAGGCACAGTGCTTGGAATGGGAGACCCAGCAGGTAGTCTAAGAAACATGCACCCAAGAAGCTTGGGGGTCCCACAAGGGGGTGGGTGTGGGTGAAATGTAAGGGGTAGGGTATGAAATGTAGGGGACTACACCACCTGGGGCAGAAAAACTGAAGTGGTTTTTCCTGGTGATGGTCTGCCCTTTACCCTGACCAGGGACTAAAGTGGACACTTTGCATACTGGCCAGAAATTATGTTGGCCTTTCAAGACATTGGCCAGGTTCTAAACTGGCCATCCTGCACAGCTAGGTCAGAAGTGGCCACCCTCCCCTCAGGTAGAACCCACATAAATGCCCCACACCCAGGTATGCCCCCCAAACGCACAGTGGATGCCCCTCAGATCCAGAGCCATGGGAGCTGCTTTGTGTAGCTATAAGCCTGGAGCTCTAGAAAAGAAGCACTCAGCCAAAGGACACTTTGGAGGCCTCTGTACACTTCCTGGAGAGTCCAACGGGAAGAGGAGGCATCCAGGATCCTGGTGGACTCACTGAGAAATGCTGTGTTCTTCTCCCTGTCCCAGGCCTGCCCTCCAGCCCCTCCCCATGCTGAAAAATCATTGTGAAGCATGGATAATAGCGATCCTCCTTGGTTCAAAATCTGTGCTTCCTGTTACCCCTGGGTGGGGTCCAGGCACCCCATCCCTGGCTCCCACAGCCCTCCATGTCTCCTCCTTTACCAGCCTATCCTCAAGCTATGGCCCCAATGGTCACAGAGGAGTCTCACCTGTGCCCAGGCTCTGTGCCCCCCCCCACCCCACTCCACACCTGCATCATCTCCACCAGGGCCACCAGGTCGGCCAGTGAGATGTGGTCCCCAGTGATGAACATCTTGTCCTGCAGAAACTTCTCCTCAAAGAGCTGCATGTTGTTCTTCGCCTCTGCCAGCATCTGTTCTGTCTTCTCAGCTGGAACCTCCTCACCTGTGATCATTGGGATCAGCATCTGGCCGGGGTGGGGAAGGGGAGGGAAGAAAAGGCTGCACTCTAGTCCCATTTGACCCTCCCGTCTTCAGCCTCCTTGTCCGCTGGAGAGGTGTTGGACAGAACCAAGGACATAAAGTAGGTTCAACTCTTGTAGTGGTTCTGCTTGATAGAGATCACCTAGGGCCATTGTTCAGGGGGATTTTGAGATCCCAGCAGGAAGTAATCCTGTGATTGGTTAGTGATGTCTGTCACAGGCATGAGATAAGAAGTAAGGGTACCTATACGGGCTACTGGTCATCTTCAAATTTGGTGGTTTCTTTTTTTTTTTTTTTTTAAAGATTTTATTTATTTATTTGACAGAGAAAGACACAGTGAGAGAGGGAACACAAGCAGGGGGAGTGGGAGAGGGAGAAGCAGACTCCCTGCCGAGCAGGGAGCCCAATGCGGGACTCGATCCAGGGACTCCAGGATCATGACCTGAGCCGAAGGCAGTCGCTTAACCAACTGAGCCACCCAGGCGCCCAAATTTGGTGGTTTCTATGGGCCCTTTGACTCTGATGTTTTCTAATTCAGAATGAAATTTCTTGACTCCTATCCCAGCCTGAGTACCACCAGCTCCTTCTGGGTGCCCTTCCCCTTGTTTTTACAAGGCTTTTTCATACCCAGTCGTTCATTCCACACTCCCATCAGCTCTGTAAGGCAGGCAGGGGAGGGAGCCAAGGAAATGAGGCGCAGGAAGGGAGGGACACTTGCTTGAACTCACCCGCGGTCAGCCATAGCCTTGGTCCCACTCACCTTGATCCAGAGGATCTTGCTCATGGGCAGCTGGATGGCAGTGTGCTGCCAGGCCATGAACTCATCCACGCGGGCGCGTGTGTGCAGGTCGGGTGGGTACCAGTGCGACGGTGTGCTGTGCTTACGGCACAAGTAGAAAAGGATGGCCACACTGCAGGAAGAGAAAGCCAGGGACACTGCCCCTTCCCTCCCCGATCCTGTTACGCCCACCACCCCAGTGTGGCCTGGGCCCAATGCAGAACCTCCAGCCGGAGGTGGGCTCTAGGCACTGACATTCTTCTAGGGGAAGGGTGAACCCAAAGGGTGCCAAGAAAGGCAGTCAGTCTGCTAGTCAGTGAGTGCAAGAGGGAGGCCAGCAGGGTGATGGGAGTTGGTGGAGATGGCATCAGGAAGGCAGTCTCGGTGGGGAACAACATGTACGGGAATTCAGGGGTAGTAAGAGGTAGCAATTTGGAGAAAAAGAAAAAGGGTGACCAGAAGAAGGGTGGGGAGAATGGTCAGAGACAGCCAGAGACACTGTGGAGGCACTCAGGGAGGCCCCCGGAGATGCAGGAGGGTATGGACTTAATCCTCAAGGTTATGGTTACATAAGCAGGAGGATGAGAAAATCTGCCTTGATTTTTAGAAAGATCCCTCTGTCCTACAACTCAATAGCAAGAAAACAAATAATCCAACCAAAAATGGGCAAAGAACCTGAGGAGACATTTTCCCAGAGAAGACCTCCACATGGCCAATGGACACATGAAAAGATGCTCAACATCACTCATCAGCAGGGAAATGCAAGACAAAAACCACAATGAGATATCACCTCACGCCCATGATATAACTGTCATCAAAAGGACAAGAAATAACAAATGTTGGCAAGGATGTGTAGAGAAGGGAACCCTTCTGCACTGTTGGTGGGAATGCAAACTGGCGCGGCCACTGTGGAAAACAATCTGGAGATTCCTAAATAGAATTACTATAGTATCCAGCAATTCCATTTCTGGATATCTATCTGAGGGAAACAGAAACAGTGTAACAAAAAGATACCTGCACCCCCATGTTCACCGCGGCATTATTTAGAAGAGCCAAGGCATGGAAACAGCCTAAGTGTCCATCGATGAATGAATGCCTAAAGAACATGTGGTGTAAAGATACAATGGAATATTATTCACCCATAGAAAAGAAGGAAATCCTGCCATTTGTGACAACATGGATGGACATTGAGCGGTTATGCTAAGTGAAATCACACAGAGAAAAATACAGCGTGATCTCATTTATATGTGGAATCTAAATACAAACAAACAAACAAAAACAAAACTGTAAATACAGAGAACACATTGGTGGTTGCAGGAGGCGGCGGGGGAGGGGGTGAAATGGATGAAGGGAGTCAAAAGATTCAGACTTGCAGCTATAAAATAAATCACGGGGATGTAATTGTGACCAAAGTTAATAAGACTGTATTGTATACTTGAAAGTTGCGAAGAGAGTAGATCTTAAAAGTTCTTACCATAAGGGAAAAAAATCTACAACTCTATGTGGTGATGGACATCAACTACAACTTACCGTGGTGATCATTTCACAATATATACATAAATCGAGTCATGATGTTGTACACCTGAAACTAATATAACGCTGTATGGCAATTACATCTCAAAAGAAAGAAAGAAAGATCCCTCTGGTACTGGGTGGAGGGGTTCTGAGGAGGGCAGAGGCCACGGAGGTATGCGGAGGGTACAGACTGGAGGCACCATTTGGAGGGGATGGTCTTGCTCTTGGCTGGCGGAGGGCAGGAAGGGAGGAATGCAGGGTGGACACAGGTGTCTAGGACATCTGGAGACCTGGAGAGTCCTGATATGACATCAAAGTCCAAGGAGCAGGTGCCTACCCGCCCTACCCTGCTCCCCCGCCCCAACCAACACCATCTGTGCAGAGTCAGAAGATGAGGAAGGAGCAGAGATGGGTAGGGGGAGAGGACAGGAAGGAGCAGCCTGGGAGGGAGGAGGGAGGGGGGAGTCCCCAGAGGCCCAACTCTATAAGAAGGGGGGAAATATCAAGGATGAAAATCCTAAATCCTAAATCATCTCAGCTGATCTCACAATAACCCTGTAAGGTGTGTACCAGTATGCTTCCATTTGAGGAAACTGAGGCTTGGAGATACAACTAACTTGCCAAAGACACACAGCCCATGAGTGACAGGATCGGGGTTTGATCCCAGCAGCCAGGCCCCATGCCTGAGCCTGAGCCTGAGCCTGAGCCCAAGCCCCGCCACTGTTCTTGACCACCTGGCATAGCGTGTGACCTTGGCCAGGCCGACCAGGGGGGTGGAAGAAATGGATGGAGTCAGGTGGGAGGAGAGTGAATGGGCAGCAGAGATGAGAGGATGGTCCCTAGCCTCCACGAAAAGCTGAGGGGCAGGCCAAGGCTTGCCTCACTGGCCCAATGCCCCTCCCCATTTTGTGACCTCTGGGAACACACCCTTGGTGGGAATCCCGGCTCATGACTGTTCTGGGCAGACCTGTCGGCGGCCGCCAGTCCCAACTGGCTCCTCCCAGGCTGTCTGTAGCCCGTGCCACTCTAACCAAGCCCACAGCCCCCACTGCCACACTCTGTGTCTCTGTCCAGCACCTTGAGGCTGGGGCCCCAATGCTCATTCTAGGCATCAGCCCTCCTGGCTCCTGCACCGGGAGCGCCGGGGCCAAGTGGGGCCCACCAGCATATTCTCGAACTCTTCTTGCCACCGTAGCAGGCCAGAGCTCGCTATGCCCGGAGGTGCCCCATCTCTTGGGGGGCAGGCACCCGGCTGGCATCACAGTTCCTGGTCTGACCCTGGAGTGGGCACCTGGCCTTCTGTCTGCCTAGCACCCTCTCACCGACTCTTCTCGCAGTGTCCTGCTCTTTCATCTTTAATCCAGTGATTCGGGGGAGGGGGGCGGTTGCTGGTAGTCAGGGGTCCCAGTGCCATGGCCAGTGAGTGGTCCACAGGCAAGAGGAGGCTCAGACTATGCCCATGCATGTCCTTCGCTAGGAACATCAGATACCCTGAGAAGGAGGGGCTGATCCTTCTCTAGACAGAGGGACACGGAGATGGGCAGGGGACACTCTAGCCCAGATTCCCTGAGCTGGAAGGGTGGGGAGGTGAGGGTCACCAGAGCCAGTAGGGCCGTCCTGCCACCAGCAGGCCCAGAGTGGGGCAGCGCAGGTGGGCACCAAGCCTCGGTGTTCCTGGTTCCAGAGGGTGGGGCCACCACCCTAAAAGGCCCAAGGCACAGAGCATGGAGCCAACAAGGATGATTCTCAAGCCTTAATATGTAAAGCAATTTACCGGCTAGGTTTCAGACTTGGTTGGGATGCATAAGATTTTTTTTTTCCTTCCTATGTCTCTGTTTGGGAATAGGAATATCCATCCTGTGCACGTCCCCCCGTTGTATTTTTTTTTTATTATTATTTTTTAAAGATTTTATTTATTTATTTGAGGGAGAGAGAGAGAGAAACAGCATGAGAGGGGATAGGGTCAGAGGGAGAAGCAGGCTCCCCACCGAGCCGGGAGCCCGACGCGGGACTCGATCCCAGGACTCCGGGATCATGACCCGAGCTGAAGGCAGTCACCCAACCAACTGAGCCACCCAGGCGCCCCCTTTTTTTTTTTTTTAAAGATTTTATTTATTTATTTGAGAGAGAGAGAATGAGAGACAGAGAGCACGAGAGGGAAGAGGGCAGAGGGAGAAGCAGACCCCCTGCCGAGCAGGGAGCCCGATGCGGGACTCGATCTTGGGACTCCAGGATCATGACCTGAGCCGAAGGCAGTCGCTTAACCAACTGAGCCACCCAGGCGCCCCAGGCACCCCTTTTTATCATTATTTTTAAGTAATGTCTACAACACCCAATGTGGGGCTTGAACTCAAGACCCTGAGATCAAGAGTCACATGCTCCACCAACTGAGGCAGCCAGGCGCCCCTCCCCATTGTATTTTAGAAGCAGGACAACTTGTCATCTGGTTTCCCAGGTTCACAGGGAGAGCGGAACTTTGAGCCGGGATGAATCATACCATGAATCTCACCCATACCTGATTTGGATAATGTAGACACTGGCATTTTGGGCTAAGAGTTGATGCCAGAGTGATTAAGACTTTTGGAGATGTTGGGATGAGGTGAATATATTTTGCACATGGGAAGGACATGAATTCGGGGGGCCCAGGGGACAGACTGTTATGGGTTGAATTGTGTTCCCCAAAGATGTGTTGAAATCCTAACGCCCAGTACCTCAGAATGTAGCCTGATTTGGAAATTGGGTCTTTACAGAGGTAATCAAGTTAAAATGAGGTCTTAGAGGGGGGCCTGGCTAGCTCAGTCGGAAGAGCATGTGACTCTTGAGCTCAGGATTGTGAGTTCAGGCCCCACCCACACTGGGTGTAGAGATTACTTAAAAATATAAAAGTAAAAATAATGTGAGGTCTTAGAGTAAACTCTAATCCCTTATGACTCGTGTTCTTATGAAATGGGGACATTTGGACACAGAGACATGCACAGACGGAAGGCAAGATGGCCCTCTCCCAGCCAAGGAATGCCTGAGGCTGTCAGAACCTAAGACAGAGGCCTGCAATAAAGCTTCCCCGGCTTCAGAGGGAGCACAGCTCTACCAACACCTCGATTTTCACTTCTAATCTCCAGAACTGTAAGACAATACATTTCTATTGTTCCAAGTCATTCAATCAGTGGTAATTTGCGACAGCAACCCTAGGAAAATAATCCAGGCCCTGGGCCCCCCGAAGTCCTGTGGTCCACTTGGAAGATGTGCTTTAAGACACCGCCTTGGAGGCACCCCAAAAAACAGTCTGCCCCAAATCTTACCAAACTTCTACTTCCAGTGACCAGTTCACAGGAAATGAAAGGACAGAAAGACCGTGTAAACATGACACCCTGAGAATGTGATCGGCAAAACTCAGACTGTGGGAAACTGCACAGGACAAAGGACTCGGTTTCTTCAACCACAACAAAAACGCAAAGGCAAGGGGCGCCTGGCGGGCTCAGTGGGCGGAGCTCAGGCTTCTCGATCTCAGGGTCCTGAGTTCAAGCCCCAAGTTGGGCGTGGAGACTACTTTTAAAAAAGGCAAAGGCAGGGGCGCCTGGGTGGCCCAGTAGGTTAAGTGTCTGCCTTTGGCTCAGGTTGTGATCCCGGGGTCCTGGGATTGAAACCAAGTCAGGCTCCATGCTCAGCGGGAAGTCCGCTTCTCCCTCTGCCTCCACCCTGCTTGTGCTCGCTCGCTCTCAAATAAATAAACCTTAAAAAAATTGCAAAGGCAGGGGCAGCTGGGTGGCTCAGTCGTTAAGCCTCTGCCTTCGGCTCAGGTCATGATCCCAGGGTCCTGGGATCGAGCCCCGCATCGGGCTCCCTGCTCCGCGGGAAGCTTGCTTCTGCCTCTCCCAGTCCCCCTGCTTGTGTTCCCTCTCTTACTGTGTCTCTCTCTGTCAAATAAATAAATGAAATCTTAAAAAAAAAAAAAAAGATTTATTTGAGAGAGAGAGGGCATGTGAGTTGGGGGGGGTGGGCAGAGGGAGAAGGAAAGAGAATCCCAAGCAGGCTCAATGCCCAGTGCAGAGCCCACTGGGCTTGATCTCACAACCTTGTGATCATGACCTGAGCCGAAATCAAGAGGCAGACACTTAACTGAGCCACCCAGACGCCCCTGATGCTTTTTTTTTTTTTTAAGAGCCCTTATCTCTTAAAAGTATATTCGTAAACATTTATGGATGAAATGATAGGGTGGCTGGCAAGCAGGGGAATAGAGTGGGCTACAGGTGATGAAAAAATGGGCTCCCCAAGAGGATCACTGTTGGAATGGGTGAGGGGTACCATGTGGAGGTCGCTATAATCCTCATTAGTTAGTATTCATTCTACTTTGGTATACATATAAAATTGTTCACAGTAAATAAAAAATAAGTACTAGCAGTCGGCTCCACGTGGATCTCCCAGGAGGAGCAGAGACAGATGGTGGGGTGGGGGGCCCCAGGAAAGACTTACCTTTCAGATAAGATAAATTTTCCATCTTTGAGGCTGGGTAGCTTCTTCAGGGGGTTGATCTCTCTGTATTCTTTGCTGTGGTGGTGACCTGAGAGGGGCAGGAAAGGTAAAGGTCTGAGGGTGCCGGGACTCCAGGGAAGAGAGAACCAGGTCTCCCAGAGGCAGAATGCCTTCCTCCCCATTTTCTCTAGAAGAGGAAACAAGCCCAGAGGAATACCATGGCTCTTCAGGTCAAAGGGCAAGTCAGCGGCAGAACAGGGATTAGGATCAAGACTCCTGCCCCCATCCCAGGCTCGGTGACCAAGACAACCTGTTGGCTCACAGAAGTTGAAGGCCTCCAGCCCCCACTCCCAACTCCAGGCCTGAAGCCACAGCCCATGAATCAGCAGAAGCCCGAGAAGCCTGGATCCCACCCCTTATAGCCCCCTCCAAAAGGGGCAGGGCAGCCAGGAGCCCCAGCACATAGCTGGAATTCAAAGGGAACCTCTCATATGCAATCAATCTATGGGGAGTTTTGTTTTGTGGTTGAGTTTTGGTGTTTTTTTTCAAGGTCATTATTTTTTTAACATTTTTTAAATTTAAATTCAATTAATTAACATATGATGCATTATTAGTTTCAGAGGTAGAGATCAGTGATTCATCAGTCTTATATAATACCCAGTGCTCATTACATCATGTGCCCTCCCCAATGTCCATTACCCAGTTACCCCTCCCCTCCAGCAACCCTCAGTTTGTTTCCCATGATTAAGAGTCTCTTATGGTTTGTCTCCCTCTCTGATTTTGTCTGGTTTTATTTTTCCCTCTCTTCCCCTATGATCCTCCATTTTGTTTCTTAAATTCCACATATGAGTGAGATCATATAATTGTCTTTCTCTGATTGACTTATTTTGCTTAGCATAATACCCTCTAGTTCCAGCCATGTCGTTGTAAATGGCAAGATTTCATTTTTTTTGATGGCTGAGTAGTATTCCATTGTGTGTGTATACACACACACACACACACACACATAAACCTCATCTTCTTTTTCCATTCATCTGTTGATGGACACCTGGGTTCTTTCAATAGTTTGGCTGTTGTGGATGTTGCTGCTATAAACACTGGGGAGCAGGTGCCCCTCGGATCACTACATTTGTATCGTTGGGGTAAATACCTAGTAGTGCAATTGCTGGGTCATATGGTAGCTCTATTTTCAACTTTTTGAGGAACCTTATTTTTTTTGTTTTGTTTTATTTTTTTAAGTAAGCTCTGCTCGGGGCATCTGGGTGGCTCAGTCGATTAAGCATCTGCTTTCGGCTTATGATCCCAGGGTCCTGGGATCGAGTCCCACATTGGGCTCCCTGCTCAGCGGGGAGTCTGCTTCTCCCTCTCCCTCTGCCTTTCCCCCCTCCTCTTGCTCTTGCTTGCTCTCTCTCAAATAAATAAAATCTTAAAAAAAAAAAAAAAAAAAAAGGTGAACTCTGCTCAACATGGACTTGAACTCAGTTTTTTTTTCTTTTTTTTTAAAGTAAGCTCTCCACTCAACATGAGCCTGAACTCACAACCCGGAAATCAAAAGTCTACACCCTCTACCAACTGAGCCAACCAGGTGTCCCGATCTATTGGGAGTCTTAACCCTTCCACAGCCAGCTGCCTCCAGCTGGAAACATTTCTGGGGCTGGACTCACACTTCATTTCAGAGCATCAGGTCTCCTCCTCTATGTTCTAGAGACTTCTGCCTCTGCGACCTGAGCTTTTAAGAATCCCTTCCATGATGGGCGCCTGGGTGGCTCAGTCGGTTAAGCGACTGCCTTCGGCTCAGGTCATGATCCTGGAGTCCCAGGATCGAGTCCCGCATCGGGCTCCCTGCTCAGCGGGGAGTCTGCTTCTCCCTCTGACCCTCCTCCCTCTCATGCTCTCTGTCTCTCATTCTCTCTCACAAATAAATAAAAATAAAAAATCTTAAAAAAAAAAAAAAAAAGAATCCCTTCCATGCTTAGGATAGTGTTGGAGACCAGTGCCCTGTACCTCACTCAGGGTCTGTGTCACCCTGGGCAGGTGTGAACACGGTGGGGAGGATGGGTGTAGACTGAAGCAGGGGTCTTCACTCAGATGTGAATGACCACACACTTCTGCAGCCTTTGCCACCTGATCAGAGGTAGTGCAGCTAAGAAGCGCTACACCCCCACAAGGAAAAGCCAAGGGCACTGGATGGGAACCTGGGGGACGCTCAGCAGCTCTGCCTTCCACTTTACCTGATAGCAGGGTAGAATATGTGGGAAGGATGGACAGCCTATAGTTCCCTTGGGTAATGCTTCTTCCCCTGTGGACTTTGATGGGGGGAGTGTCCTCTGTGTCTCAGCTTAGAGACACCCTGAACTTGTGCCCTGCCTCCCCTCTGGACCAGACCTATGCCCGGCAGCAGGGGGTGCCTACCCTTTAGCAGATCCACAAACTGGAAGTCGAAGGGGATGCTGTTCTTTCTAGCGAAGATATACACAGCACGGCAGGATGCTGACAGCAGGTCCAGATAGAGCTCCAGGCCCATGTTGAGACACACGTTGGGCACCCCCACCAGCCAGCCACCAGGCTCTGAACCTGAACCTATATGCAGCCTGAGCCCTTGGCCCTGGCCCTGTGCCCTTCAGCCGTCTCTAACCCAGGCCCAGGACCCCGAGTTCTGGAACTTCTTGTTTCATTTGGTGGTGTCATGAGGCCAGGAAGCCCGGAATTCTCACAGCAGCAAGGATTCTGGGGAGACTCAGGAGCAGACTAGGGAGATGCCCCTGGCTCGGGGGCAGAAGGTGGGGGCCTCCTGCAGCCCTGCTCCTCCCCTCCAACTTGGTGCCTGTCTGTCCTTGTGGCCCATTTCTGAAAAAGGACTTACACACGGGAATTCTCAGGGCCGGAACTTCACTGCAGCCCGTGACCCCGGGCTCTGCGGGGTCCAGAATAAAGACAGGGCAATGAGAACTGACCACAGAGGGTTTCAGAAGCAGGGCTTGGGGGTAGGCATAGGTCAGTCTAGCCTGAACTGTAGCTAGAAAAGTGTTGGGAGAAAAAGAAACAGGAGCCTGGGGAGCAGTCAGGGCACCGGGGACAATGTCACAGGGGTGTCAGGGGTCAGCCAGTCAGGCTGTGCCATGCAGAGAAGCCCAGAAACTTCTGGCTTGGCTTGGGACTGGCAGTGGCCAGGGGAGCTCAGTACCTGGCAACTCAGGAAGGTAACTGGATGCACATGGAGAAGTCTGAGTGTTGCTCACTCTAGGCTGCATCATCGCGGGACATCTGTCCCTGTAGATTCTGCTCTAAACCCCACCTCCTAACGCCGAGTGAGGCTGGAGACAAGTGGAGGGCACACAGCATGTTTATTGTGGCAGGAGAGTGCAGGGGAGCGGGCCCGGCCGTACCCCTCTCAGCTGATCCGGCCGTACCCCTCTCAGCTGAGCCGCTCCAGCAGTCTCTGCACCAGCTCCTGGGCCAGCTTGGGGTCCCGCTGGGCATCTCGGGGGTCCCGAGGCTGTAGCACAAGCCTGTGCGCATCCTGGACGAGCTCAGGGCCCAGAGCAGCCTCTACTCGGGCTCGCCACGCTGCCAGCTGGGGCCACTCTTGGAAGATGTCGCAGCCAACAGCAGTGGGCTGGGGAGACAAGGCAGCTGGAGCAGGGGACTCAGCCCTGGGCCCGGAGTCCCCCCAGGGGCAAGCAGGCAAGAGAAGCTCACCTGCATCAGCTCCGTGAATGCCATCAGATCCGCTAGGGAGAGCTGCTTGGTGGCCAGGAAGGGCTTGGTGGCCAGGACCTGCCCATCCAGATGCTGCAGAGCTGGTTTCAGCTTCCCCAATAGCCGGTCTAGCCGCACGGGGTCCACAGGCTGCCCCGAGAAATGGGGCAGGAGGGACTGGGCGGGGGGAGAATCGAGGCAGTTTATCCCAGTCTCCTCCAAACAATCTCAACCACCTTGCCACCCCTCCTGGCCACCATCCCCACCATCTGTCAGTGATACCCCCTGGGGCACTGTATTCAGAAGGCTTCTGAAGCCATCATTCAGACTCCGGGGGAAAGAGTGCTGTGATAGATTACGGATGTCTACCTGGGACAGTGGATGGGAGGTGTATATGGGCCAGCGGGTTCTTTCCAGCACGGGGGACTCCAGCTCTTGCCCAAGCCCCACGCTAGGGCAGGGAGTCTCACCTTACACAGGTAGACGTTGCAAGCAGGCAGCTGGACGGCCGTGTGCTGCCACGCCAGGTACTCGTCCACACGTGCGCGGGCCTGCAGCTCGGTTGGGTACCAGTGGGTCGCCGCCCGGTACTTGCGGCTCAAGTATAAAAGGATGGCCACACTGCAAATAGGAGGCGTCGGAGATTTCCCCAGCCCTCAGCGCTAGGCAGCCTCATCTCTCACAAATAGGGTGATTTGACTGGATCTCTCTCCAATGGCACCTCTAAGGGAGGACCCACCCATTCCCACATCCCCACCAATGGTCATCTTTTCCCCACCAAACTGCTCCATTCCTCAAGTGCTCCCCCATGGGCCCACATTTCGACCTCCCCTCCCTTCTCCTACCCCAGCCAGCCCTCTGTCTCCAGGCCCCGCTCTCTGGCATCGGGGTCCTACTGAGCGGGAGGAAGGCAGGCCTGCCCGAGGGGTCTCCCAGTTCCCTCCCAGGCCAGTGCTCCCCAAAACCCTTTTCTTGATCTCTCCTGGGCTCCTGGTACTTGGTGACCAGTTTCTATTCTCAGGCAAGTCCTGGGAGGGGGTTACGTTACTCCCCCATTTTACAGAGGAGAAACATGGAGCACAAAGTTCTGTGACCTATCCATGGCAGAGAACGAGGGTGGGGGGACCTGGGATTCAGAGCCCAGTGCAGATCTGGGGCTGCCTGGCCCCTGGCTCCTGTGACTGAAAGGCCCGGGTTTGGGACATCTGAGGAGAGCTGACCTCAAGCTTGGATCTTCCCCAGCTAGCTCCAGGTTGTCCGGGACTGCCTGAGTGACCTATGCCCCTTTCCCAGGCTGAAGCTACCAACTTTAGCCCCAAAGCCGCCCCCAGTCCAGCCCCCCTGCCTCCAAGCTGGGTGAGCTGGAAGGAGGGAGGGGGGTCACACCAGTTTGGAAAAATCTCCCAGTGAGGGGTCATCAGCTTTCTGCCTTCCTCCCTCCACCCCCACCCCAACCCAGAAGCCTCTGCAGACCCCAGGACCCCATTACCTCTCCGCCAGCAGGAAGTCCCCATCTTTGAGAGCAGGTACCTTCCCCAGGGGGTTCACCTTCAGGAATTCAGGCTTCAGGTGCTCCCCTGAGGGGTGGAGGAGATGAGTGGCTCAGCAAGTTCTGGCCCTTGGACAGACACCCCCTCCATGGAGCCCAGCCTAGTCAAGGCTCACCCCGTCCTAGCTCCACAGGCCGCAGCTCGAAGGGAATGCCATTTTTCCGGGCAAAAATGTAGACTGCACGGCACGGGGGCGAGTACAGGTCCAGAAACAGCTCCAGCGGCATGGCTGCACCTCCCACTGTCCTCACCTACCTTCCACTCAGGTCTGCCTCCTGGGGTTGGTTTGGTCCCTCCAAAATGGGGCCCGAAGAAATGTGTTTCCTTCCCTGAAAGCTGTTTCCTCTGAGCTAGTAGCACCGCCCCGCCAAGCCTCCACACCTTCTGGCCTCTGTGGGATGAGGCGCGGTGGGCTGTTGGAGATTTGTCACTGGTTTTCCAGCGCAGGGTCCCCAGCCTGACCCTGCTCCTCCACAAAGCCCTGTCCCTCCCCCCGGCCTGCTGCTTCCTTCTGCCCCCTTATCTCTGCTTCCTGGAGGCCAGGGCGGCTTTCACAATCTAGCTGAGGTGGGAGGCTCCCTGGCAGACGCGCACTATTGGTCTTTAAGGCCTTTCGTGTCTTTCCTCCCAGCCCGTGCCTGTCCACACACACACACACACACACACACACAAACACACAGTCACGCACTCACACACACACACTCACACGCACACACACACACTCTCAATTATATGACCCCACCCTCACCCTCCCAGCCCAGGTCTCTCCTCTCTCTGGTCTGAGTAACTGTCCTAACATCCTGACTTGGTAAAGACATCTCTCTCTATTTATTTGTTTGTTTTGTTTGAGGGAGCGAGCAAGCGAGAGAGCATGTGAGCACGCAAGCAGGGGAAGGGGCAGACGGAGAGGGCATCCAAGCAGACTCCTGCGGAGCGCGGAGGCCCAACTCAGGGCTCCATCCCACCACCCATGAGATCAGGACCTGAGCCAAAACCAAGAGTCGGGCGTTTAACCGACTGCCCCACCCAGGCACCTCAAGGCATCTCTCTCCTGCCTGTCCTCCTCTGGTGCCCCCCACCTCAGGTGTAGCACCCCCACCCCCTGGGGCTCAGGCCAGCCCCCTGGAGTCTTCCCTCCTCCTTACCCAGACCTGATCCCTCCAACCTCACCAGCTTCCTGACCAGCCCCTCTGCCTCCACCAGAGACCTTCTGTCCTGGTCCACACAGCACCACGGGGGATCCTCAAGTCCAAATCAGATCCCCTGCTCCCCTGCGCGACACCCTACCACCCCTCACCCAGTGTAGCCACACTCCCCAGCCTTGTCCATTTGCCTCTTGGCCTTCCTCCTGGAATGTCCCATGCACTTCTTTTCTGTCAGAACCCAAGTCTTGAGATGATGAGGGCTGGGCTGTGGGCAGCGCCTCCCCGGACCCAGAGAACAGCCGTGAGTGGCTTGGGAGCTGGGGCCTAGCCTCCACACTGGCCCATGCTGGTGGGGTGGGTCATGGCACAGGTAACAGCCACAGCAGCCCCCTGGGAACTGAGCGATGGCCTCCCCGGAAGCTGCCCCCGCCCCATTCTGGGACCTGAGGAGCTCAGAGCCACTCCCTGACTTTCTTGGCCCATGCAAGGCAACTGTAATGCCTTCCCCACTGTTTTCACAGGAACTGAAGTCAGCCAGGCAGGATTTTTAGGGACAAATTCCACCCTCCACAAACACACATAATTGTAGGACATGTAACTTGGGCAGGGCTGTCCCCACCCTTGGTTTCCAGGACAGTTCATGGCTCAGACCAGCCAGTGAACACCCTATACCCCTTGGCCACTCTGATCGGATCAGGCAGGGTCCTAGGGCTGTGGCAGGACTTTCTGGGAAAGAGGGGCTGGGAACAGGCACAAAGCTGACCCCAGCTGAGGCCCACGGTCCTTCCCAGGGAGAGGCTCCGGAAGCCACCGGCTGCAGAAGGAACACAGCTGGCTGAGACTCTTCCCCAGTGGAGAGGGAGGCCCAGGGCCGGGCAGCCCCCAGGAGCCAGGCTGTCCAGAGCCAGCCATCCTGGAGCCCAGGCAGAAGGGAGTGAAGCCAGGCAGGCCCAGCCAGGCTGTAGATGGGAGGCTGGGCTCAGACCTGGCATGCCCAGAGCTGTCAGGGAGCCCTGAGTCCAATGGCTGGGACTTGTAACCCGACCCTGCACAGAGAACCCCAGCTGGCTCCACCATATTGGACAGGGGTCCCAGCCATGCGGTAAAGGGGAGGAGTGAGAGAAGGATGA